ATAAAAACAAATGAAAATGAAAACATAAAGGTCCAAAACCTTTGGGATGCAGCAGATGCTGTCTTAAAAGGTAAGTATATAGCAATAAAGGACTATGTCAAGAAGCAAGAAAAATCTCAAACAACCACCTAACCTTACACCTAAAGGAGTTAGAAAAAGAACAATAAACGAAGCCTAAGCCAGCAGAAAGAAAGAAAGAATAAAAGAGCAGAAATCAATGATATAGAAACTAAAAAACAAACAAAAAATGGGAGCTGGTTCTTTGAAAAATTTAATAAAATTGATAAACCTTTAGCCAGACTTATCAAAAAGAAAAAAAAGGACCCAAATTAATAAAATCACAAATTAGAAGAAATAGCAACCAACAGCACAGAAATAGAAACAATTATAAGAGAATATTATGAATAACTATATGACAGCAAATTGGATAACCTGGAAGAAATGCATAAATTCCTGCACACATTTGGCTATCAAAACTGAAACAGGAAGAATTTGAAAACTTGAACAGATAGAACAGATAAGTAACCTGTAAAGACACTGAATCAGCAATCAAAGAACTCCTATCAAACAAAAGTACATGGCCTGATGGCTGAAGTATATGGCCAGGTGTATTCTACCAAAAGTTTAAAGAAGAGGTAATACCTGTTCTTCTCAAACTATTCCAAAAATAGTAAAGGAAGGAAAACTTTCAAATTCATCTGATGAGGCCAGCATTATCTTGATACCAAAACCAGATGAAGATTCCACTGAAACAGAGAACTATAGGCCAGTATTCCTGCTGAACACAGATGCAAAAATGGTCAATAAAATACCAACAAACTGAGTCCAATAATACATAAAAAAATTATTCACTGTGATCAAGTGGCACATATTTCTGGGTTTCAAGGGTGGTTCAATATTTGCAAATCTATCAATGTGATACACCACATTAATAAAAGAAAGGATAAGAACCATGTGATCATTTCAATAGACACAGAAAAAGCATTTGACAAAGTACAACATCCATTCACAATAAAAACCCTCAGTAAAGTACATTTTAGAGGGAACATACCTCAGCATAATAAAGGGGATATATTAAAAACCCACACTTAAAACCATTCTCAATGAGGAAAACTTTAAAGCTTTTCCTCTACAGTCAGGAATAAGGGATGTTCACTCTCACCACTGTTATTTAACATCAGTACTGGATGTCCTAGCCACAGCAATCAGACTATAAAAAGAAATAAAATGCATCCTAATAGGCAAAGAAGTAACACTTTAATGATTTATACAAAGAATACAAAAATACTAAATCAAAGGGATACATACACCCCACTGTTTACAGGAGCATTATCTACAGTACTCAAATTATGAAAACAGCCCAAGTGTCCAGCAACTGATGAACGGATAAAAAGAAATCGTGCATATATACAATGGAATGTTACTCAGCCTTAAAAAAAGAATGAAATCTTGCCATTTGCAACAGTGTGGATAGAGCTAGAGAGTATTATGCTAAGCAAAATAAGTGAGAGAAAAATACCATATGATTTCACTCATATGTGGAATTTAAGAAAGCAAACAAATGAGGAAATGAAAGTAAAAACAGAAAAGGCACACCAAAAACAGAAAAGGCACACCAAGAAACAGAGAAGAAACTGATGATTACCAGAGGGTAGGTGGGTGTGGGGATAGGTTAAATAGGTGATGGGGATTAAAGAGTGCACTTGTTGTGATGAGCACAAGGTGATGTATGGAAGTGTTACAGTACTATATTGTATACATGAAACTAATATAACAAATAGCTAAAAATCAAAAAACATAAGAACTAGTAAGTGCTTCTGAGGAGAGGGAAAAAGAAGCTGTTATGCACTGTTGGTTGGCATATAAACTGGTGCTGCCACTGTGGAAAACAATATGGGGCTTCCTCAAAACATTAAAAATAGAATTACTATACAATTCAGTAATTCCACTACTGAATATTTACCCAAAGAATACAAAAATATTCGCACCTTGATGCTTATTGCAGCATTATTTACAATAGCCCAGATATGGAAGCAAACCAAGTATCCATCTATAGTTGAATGGATGAAGAATATGTTGCGTGTGTGTGTGTGTGTGTGTGTGTGTGTGTGTGTGTGTGTGTGTAAAATGAAAAAAGAATTTTAAAGACATTTTACCTGTCCTTATATGTTATTTGACTTTGAAATCCTTAATCCAAATCTGATGCTGGCTTGTTTTTAGACAGAGTTCAAGAATAGAGGAACAGATGTTGAAATATCTATTGCTCATAGTAGCAATTAAATAATTAAGTTATCGATGCCTTTCAGTTCTAGAAAAAAAAAAGTTTTTAATAGTGAAGCTCAAAGAACAACTGAGAAAGGCTTCTCATCATAAAATATTCCATTTTTTATGTCATTTAAAAAGGATTATTCATAGGAAAGTAAATATTAACTTTAATAGCAATAGGTGTTGTATATAAAAAAATGAGGAACATTTGAAGACCTAGACAAAATAAGAATATATTTTTGTCACCAAAATATCAAATGAGAGGACTGTGTTCCACTGAGTTTAAATTCTATACATCCAAACAAATTCTATAAAAATATTATATTCTGTAATTCCAGTACAGAGTATTGTGTCACTTGGGAATAGAAGGCAATTTTTTTCTGGAACAATTTTTTCTGCATAAAAGTTGCATACATACTAGCTAATCCATCAAACAGTTACTGTGCGTCCTCTGCCTTTTCATTTTATGGGCTATTCTGGCTTATGGGACTACATACTATGTTTCATTTCTCTAAGCAAATGTTTACCCATTTATTTTAAAACCTTCTGAAGAATGAATGAATTTAATATGGTGGGCATTTCATTTAAAGGTATAATATTGACAATATGGAAAATATACTTAGCAATATTCCCTTAGATATGTATTCCTCTCGGTGACTGTAGATGCTATTTGCTAAATGAGAAGTAATACATAGCTTCCATTCTGGTATTTACTGAATTTCTTTTGTTTAAAAGGCAGAAATCCACAAAACTGATTTCATAATAAAATGTAACCTAGAACTGCCTATGCATTGTACGTAAGTTTAAATATATTTTTCTTTTTGAAAGCCATCAGCTTATACTTTGGTTTTGGTACAAATAGAACTTTTAACACATGGAGAGTCGTAGGAACTCTTGTTAAGTTATTAATTTTGAAAGAAAAACTCGGTATATGTAGATGAATAGCAACAAACGTGGTAATGAAATAAACTCCATCAGAAAATCAGAAACTAAAAAAAAATGATGGTAGGGTAGTCAGAGGCTGAATTCTAGCAAACTCGAACTTCTTTATTCTATACTAGTTGTAATGTTGTACATTATGGTTACATTCTATCAGGTCACATTCTATAGTTCCTGGTACATAATAGGTGTTCAATATACAATTGTTGAATAAGTTTTGAATAAGAATAATCTATTGAAATAATCTATTGAAAAATAATTTAATGAAATGCAAATTCTTAAACTTATTTACCTGTGAAAGAAAGCAATACTCAGTGCAACTACCTTGTAACACATTTGGTTCCCCAAATGCTTTGTAACTTCTCTTTTCTTTAATACGAATCTTAGTTGTGTGAAAATAATACAAAGGGTTCCTATGGACTTGTTACCTAGTTTTCCCCGATGGTGATATCTTGGAAAACTATATAGCACAATGTCACAACCAGGATATTGGCAACAATACAATCAAGACACAGAACATTTTCAACACTACAAGGCCTCTCCTGCTGCCTTTTTATCACCATATCCACTTTACCCCTGACAATCACACTTCTCCTCATATACTGGCAACCCCTAATCTTTCCTCCATTTCTATATTCTTTTCATTTCAAAGAGTATTTTATTGGCACAAATGTATAGCATATACCCTCTCTCTTTTTGTGTTTTTTTTTTTTTTTATAACTTAGCATGATTTCCTCAATATTTGTTAGGTTGTTGTTTGTATCTATAGATTATTACTTTGTATTGCTGAATAATTTTACAGAGTATGAATGTGCCACAGTTTTTTTAACCACACATCCATTAATGGACATCTGGGTTGTTTCTAGGTTTTTACTGGTATGAATAAAGCTGCTATAAATATGCATGTGTACAGGTTTTTTTCTGTCAACATTGGTTTTCATTTCTCTAAAATAAATGCCCAGGAGTGCAGTGGTTGTATAGTATATGGTAATGACAAGTTTAGCTATGTAAGTAATTTCTATTTTCCAGAATGGCTGTACCAGTTTACATTCCCAACTGCAATGTATGAATCATCAAGTTGTACATTCATGTCAGTATTTGGCATTGCCAGGATTTTTAATTTTAGCCATTTTGATACATATGTAGTTATTAAATCCATTGGGGATTTAATAGCATTTCCCTAAATGGCTAATGATAAACATTTTTTCATTTGCTTACTTGACATGTGTATATCCTCATTTGTGAAACATCTATTCACATATTTCTTTTTATTTTTTATTAAACATTTTTTTAATGTTTATTTTTTTGAGATAGGGAGAGAGAGAGAGCAAGAGAGAGAGCGAGCACACATGAACAGGGTTGGGGCAGAAGGAGAGAGAGAAAGAATCCCAAGCAGGCTCCATGATGCCAGCACAGAGTTTTCTGTGGGGCTTGAACCCACATTATCGTTCAGCTATGGATTTGTTCATAGTTTGAGTTTGTGAGACAGAATAGTATTGATGATGTTAATCCATGGGCAATTATTAGGGCTGTTGCTGCCATATAGCTTCATGGTGTTTGATAAGAACCGCCACAATGGCTTATGGATGAGTATGCGATTAGGGATTTTAGATCTGTTTGGCGTAGGCACATAGAGCTTGTTATAATTATTCTTGATAGGGATAATATTAGGAAAGGGATGCAATTTGGTCTGTTAGTGGATTAAGTAATATTGTAATATGTATTATTCCATACCCACCTAGTTTCAGGAACACAGCGGCAAGTACTATCGATCCAGCAATAGAGGTTTCTACATGTGCTTTGGGTAATCAGAGATGTAATCCATATAGAGGTTTTGTTTTGTTTTTTTTTTTTTAATTTTTTTTTCAACGTTTATTTATTTTTGGGACCGAGAGAGACAGAGCATGAACGGGGGAGGGGCAGAGAGAGAGGGAGACACAGAATCGGAAACAGGCTCCAGGCTCTGAGCCATCAGCCCAGAGCCTGACGCGGGGCTCGAACTCACGGACCGCGAGATCGTGACCTGGCTGAAGTCGGACGCTTAACTGACTGCGCCACCCAGGCGCCCCAATATAGAGGTATTTTTACTATAAATACTATTATACAAGCTAATCAAAGGAAGATATTAGATCAAGTGGTTGAGATTGGTTCAGTTCAGTATTGTGTGATTAGAAAATTTAGGGACCCTGATGCGTTTTGGAGATATACTAAAGCGACTAGTAGAAGTAATGAACCTACTAGGGTGTAGAATAGAAAGTAAAGGCCTGCGTTTAGTCGTTCTGTTTGATTACCTCATTGGGTGATAATAATCAGAGTGGGCACTAGTTTGGCTTCAAATAAAATATAGAACATAATTAGCTCGATGGCAGTAAAGGTTATAATTAGGAATAGTTGTAAAAGGGTGAGTATTGTGATGTATAGTTTTTTGGGGCTAGGGTTTCTTTTGATAAGTGTGATTAGCTGGCTGTAAGTATTAGTGGTAGGAGTCATGCTGTTAACGCCAGGAGGGTTGAAGCACGTGGGGCTGCATGAGACCATGATCTGAGCTGAAACCAAGAGTCAGACACTTAACCAACTAAGCCACCTATGAATACATAAATACATGAATAGGGATTCATGTATTCCTAATTGAATTTTTCTAACTATACTTTGTGGGGTTTTTTTTATTGTTGAGTTTTGAGAGTTTATTATATATTCTAAATTCTAGTCCTTTGTGAGATATGTGCTTTGCAAGTATTCTTGTTCAGTTTTTCTTTTCTTCTTCTTAACAGTCTTGCACAATTTTGTGCAATTACAACTCATCAGTTTTTTCTTCTTTTTTTTAATGTTTATTTTTGAGAGAGAGAGAGAAAGAGCTGGGGAGGGGCAGAGACAGAGAGAAACAGGATCTGAAGCAGGCTCTGTGCTGACAGCGGAGAGCCTAGTGTAGGGCTTGAACTCCTGAACTGTGAGATCGTGACCTGAGCTGAAGTCATATGCTTAAACCGACTGAGCCACTCAGGGGCCCCAATTCTTTCTTCCTTTCTTTCTTAGATTTCATTTTTAAGTAATCTCTACATTCAACATGGGACTCGAACTTACAACCTCAAGGTCAACAGTCATGTGCTCTACCAACTGAGCCAGCCAGGTGCCCAATTCATCAATTTTTCTTTTACACATTGTGTGTTTGGTGTCAAGTCTAAGAACTCTTCGCCTATCCCTATATCCCAAAATTTTTTCTCCAGTTTGTTCCAAAAGTTTTATAATTTTATATTTTGCATTTGGATTTGTACTTTATTTTGAGTTAAGTTTTGTATAGATTTCAGATTTAGATTGTGTGTGTATGTATTTTACAAATATATATGTCTATGAGATGTCCATTTTTTTCCATTGAATTGCTTTCTCATATTCATCAAAAATTATATTTGTGTGACTCTCTTTCTGGGTTCCCTGTTCTGTTGTACTGATTGATATGTCTATCTCTCTACCAATACCACATGGTCTTGATTTTTATAGCTGTATAATAAATCTTGAAATTGAGTAGAATGATTCCTACCACTTTATTTTTTTTCCAAAATTGTGGTAGTTATTTTAGTTTATTCACCTTTCCATATATATATTAGAATAATATTTTCTATATTTACTGAAAATTTTTATGGGATTTTGAAAGTAAATACATTAAAGTTGTATAGCAATATGGTGAGAATTGACATCTTAACCATATTGAGTTTTCCTACTCATGAGTTTGATGTATTGGTCCACTTTTCTAAAAAAATTTTTTCATTAGTGTTTTGTAGATATCAATATACAGAATCTTTGCATGTTTTGTTAGCCATCCATCTCAGTATTTCATATTTTTTGAGTGATTACAAATAAATTACATTTTTAATTTTAGTTTTTATGTCTGTGTTCATTTGAGGTATGCATAAATGCAATTTATTTTTTAAAATGTTTATCTTATATTCTGCCACCTTGCTTAACCTACTTATTAGTTGTAGGATTTTGTTTTTTGCAGACTTCTTAAAATTTTATACAAAATATGACAATTAAGTCATCTGCAAAAGGGACACTTCTGTCTCCTCCTTCCTCAGGTACAGGTTCTTTTCTTTTTTGCCTTCTGTGGCTGAACTTCAGGCTTTATGTTGGATGAGAGTGGTGAGAGCAAAAATCCATGAAGTGTTCTCAGTTTTAGGGAGAAACCATTAATTTTTTCTGCATTAAATGTAATGTTGGTGGGGTTTTTTTTTTGTATTCTTTTTATTAAGTTGAGGAAATTTTCCTCTATTGTCATCGTAAATGGGTTTTGAATTTTGTCAATTGCTTTTTCTGCATGGATTTATAAGATCATGTGATTTTTCTTCTTTAGTCAATTAATTTGTCAAATCACCATCATTAATTTTCAAATATTGAACTGTTTTTGCATCTTTGGAATAAACTTTGCTTGGTCATGGTGTATAATTCCTTTTTACAGTGCTGAATTTTACTTACTAATATTTAGTTAAGAAAATTTTCTTACGTACTCATGATGGATATTGAAGTCCTCTCCATTCTATTTTCCAAAAGTGAATGTGTAGAATTAGTGATAATTCTTTAACTTTTTGGTAGAATTCTACAGTGTAATCTTCTGAGCATGGAGATTTCTTTATCTGGGAGCTTTTAAATTATGACTTCAATTTTCTTAATTGTTAGAGTATTATTTAAATTATCTCATGATGGGTATGTTGTTGTAGTTTGTATTTTGAGGAATTGGTCCATTTCACCTAAGCTATCAAATTTATTTGTGTATACAGAGTGTGCAGTGATCCTATTTTACTTCTAGTTTTGGTAATTTGTATCTTTTTTCTTTTGTTCTCTGTCAGTCTTGCTCAAAGTTTGCCAATTATTGACTTTTTCAAAGTACCAATTCTTATTTTCATTAATTTTCTTATTGTTTTTCATTTTCATTTTCATTTATTTCTGTTTGATTTCCTTTCTTCTGGTTGTTTTGGGTGTGTTTTGGTTTTCTTTTTCTATATTCTGGAAGTGAGAGTTTAGATTATTGATTTGAGACTTCCTCTTGTCTAGTGCATATATTTAGTGCTATACATTTTTCCCCAGCACTGCTTTAGCTGTGTCTCTCAAATTTTGATTTGTTCTATTTTCATATTAATTCAGTTCAATGGGTTTTTCAACCCATTTGCTTTTTAACAATGAATTTTTAGAAATTTGTTGTCTAGTTTCTAAGTTTTTAGAAATTTTCCTGTTCTGGTTCTGTTAGAGATTTCTGTTTTGACTCCATTGTGGTAGAGGAACATACTTTATATGATTTCAGTTCTTTTAAGCTTTTTGAGATGTGTTTTATAGTCCAGGATTTAGCCTCGCTTGGTGTATGTTCTGTGGGCACTTGAAGAAAATGTGTATTCTGCACTTTTTGGGTAGGCTGCTCTGTAAGTGTTGATTAGATACTGTTGCTTGATGGTGCTTTTAAGATGATTTTGTATTTAGCTGTTCTTTTAATTGTTGGGTGACAGGTGTTGAAGTTTCCAATAATAATTGTGTGTTTGTCTATTTCTATGCATTCTATACATTTGCTTCATATTTTTGTAGCTCTCTTGTTTGGTGCACACACATTTAGGATTGCTGTGTCTTGCTGGTAGATGGACCACTTTATCTATGTGATGTTTCTCTCCATCTCTTTCCTTTGAAGCCTACCTGATTAGACATCGATATAGTCATTTCTATTATCTTTGATTGTTTATATTATATATCCATGACCATCCTTTACTTTTAAACCTGCCTGAAGTGTTATATTTGAAGGGAGTTTCTTATAGGTAACATATACTTGGTTCATGTTTATTAATCCATTCTGCCAATTTATATCTTTTATTTAGTACATTTAGAAAATTTACATTTAATATAATTTTGATATGTTAGGCCTATAATTTATCATGTTATTAATTTGTTGTTGTTTTTCTGTTTGTTCACCAGGTTTTTTTGTTTGTTTCTTTTTCCTATTCTCTTATGGGTTGCTTGAACAATTTTTTAGAATTCTATTTTTATCTATCTTGAGTGTTTTTGAGTATATTTCCTTTTATAGTTTTTTAGTGGTTGATGTAGGTTTCTATATATATATATATATTCCATATATATATATTCCATATATATATATTCCATATATATATATATATATATATATATAACTTATCAAAGCCTGCTGTTTATTTAATTTCACCAAATAGAGCAAAACATAGAAACCTTAGCTCCTTTTATATGTTTACCCTCCCTAATTAGAATATAATTGTCTACATCTAGATCTACATCAAACATTGCTATAATATTTGCTTTCAACTGTAAACGTTATTTAGAACACTTAAAATGAAAAGGTTCATCTATTGCTTCTCACATTTTTGTTTTACATGACCTTTTTTCCTTCTTATGTTCTAAAGTTTCTTCTTTTATAGCTTTCTCACAGTTTGTAGAACTTCCTCTAACCATTTATTAGGGTAGGTATACTGGCAACCCAAGCTATGAATATTTCTGAAATTCAAAGTGTCATCATCTCCCCTTTATTCCTAAGGAATATTTTCACTAGATATAGGATTCTGGGTTGAAAGTTCTTTTCTTTCAGTACTTAAAACATTTTAATATTTTTTTTAAGTTGATTTATTTTTTGGGAGAGAGAGAGAGAGAAAGAAAGAGAGAGAGAGAGAACCAGCAGGAGAGGCTGAGAGAGAGAGAGAGGGACGGAGGATCTGAATTGGGCTTTGTGCTGACAGCAGAGAGCCCAATGTGGAGCTCGAACTCATGAGCCAGCCATGAGATCATGACCTGAGCCAAAAGCGGATGCTTAACCAACTGAGTCACCCAGGCACCCTGTCAGCACTTAAAACATTTTATACCATTTCCTTCTGGTCTCAGTAGTTTCTAGTGAGAAATCTAGTGTAATTTGAATTGTATTTCTTTTCCCCTACACGTAAGGTGTCATTTCTCTCTCAATACTTTCAAGATTTTTTTTTACCCTTCATCTATAGTTCTCAAGAGTTTAACTATTATTTGTATTGGTATGCAATTCTTTGAGAACAGGGTTTGATTGGGCTTTTTTTTCCCCCTATGTCTGTTGGCATTTGGGGGTTACTGGTTTTCTTAGCTCTAAATCTGGGATATGTGAGACAAAAAGAAAACCAATTATAACTGTGTTATATCTTGGGTCCCAAGGTTCCTAATTAATCTATGTTCTCTCCCCCTTTCAGGGTCTATTATGTCTGCTTTATATGTAATGTTTATTTTTTTTAATTGTCTACAGTATTTTAATTGTTTTAATAAAAAGAGGAATAAAAAAAAACCACCCACTACTCCATATTCTTGGAACTAAAAGTACTTCTGTAATATTGTCTTAAAAGTCATATTCTTGTATATCCATGTTACTCCAGGGACCTATTACAGAACAGGCCAAAAATAGTAAATGTACTAAAAGAAACATGTTTTGTTGTTAGCTTAACTATAATGATTAGTGTATATGTGACTACTTTGAA